CCCCCCATCCACCCCACCCGCCTCGTCCAGGGGGTCCTCGTCTTCCTGAATGGACCGACAATTCGCACAGCCTTGGCGGTGCCCAGGACCCCAGGAGCAGGAGGCGGCCGTGTGCCATCGGGACCCTCGGGGCCCCCTCCCCCTCTATAGTGCGTCGCCCCGCCCTGTGCTGGTGGCAAGGGCACGCTTATAAGAAATAAATCATTTTTACAAAATTAAATAAAAATGCCGTATAATTACTTCATGTACTAATTACTTGTCTTAAGGCAGACTGACTATTGGCGACCAGAATAATAACATAAATATTAAGCACTGCAATTATCGCACCTGCCGCCCGTTTTGCGTGTGCGCCATTTCTGTGTGGACTTTACGTCGTGATAATGATGTTCACAACGATATGAGTACCTACGCAGCGCTGCTGTTGCATAAGTAATCCGTACTCCGTACCCAACACCCCCGGCTGACCGGGAGCGCCGCGAGCAGCGCGGGGGCAGGAGGGCCGGAGGGCCCATCTGCGAGGTGGCGGCCCGGGGCCCGGGGGCCTCAGAAGCCCGTAGTGATAACGGGCGAAAGAGAGGGGGCGAGACCTTGGCAAAATTTGAGTCGAAGCCCAAGGCCTAGCTCAAGGCGAGCCGCGCAACCCAGAGCCCACAGGAGCCCGCGGGGGGGCGATGTTCCCCGGGACCACGTCGACGGCGTTGAGGAGTCCGTTCGATGTCAGCCCCCCAGGTCGCACATTATGCGGATCATGTACTCGACGACGGAGGTCCACGATAAAGCCGTTGCCGGGAGCATCCCGCGCCGAGTCCGAGCGCACCACGCAGGCCTCACGACGCGGGGCACGCTGGCGAGCGCCGAGGCCCATGCCCTCACTCCCTGATACCCGGCGCAAGAGCCGATGAACGGCGGCTTGGGACGGGTCAGCGTTGCTAACTGACGGCCGCCACCTGATCACTTGCCGATGGAGTGGAGTGTGAATTCTGATAAGGCGAAAAGTCCTGAGTCGTATCCGCCGCGAAGGCCAAGGGCCTCCCGTAAGGTGCCTGTACAACAGTGCTGTACAGTTATTTTAGAGAGATACGGGGGCAGGCGCGCTGGCGGAGAACTGAATTCACAGAACCGTCCTCTTGGCCTTGATATCATTGGGCTGCCGAAAGTAGTCCATGTGTATTTAAGCAAAACGCGAATAAATGTTGCTATTTCTCCCGCTAGAACTACTTTGTTTTCCTCCTAGGTTCGTCAGTAGAGAGTTCTTTTGATAAGGATAGTGGCACCAGTGCGTGCGCTGGTGTCGGGCCTAGCCGGACCCTCTCGATAAGAGCGTTTGGCTATAGGTGTGAGCATCCTTCTTTGTTTGCTCTCCTGTCCCATCGCCATGTCCCCCTCCCCTCCCTCCCCTCCGTCCCTTCCGTCCGCTCCGTCCCCTCCCCTCCCCTCGACCAGCGCCGAGGTGGAGACAGGAAATTCCGTAGCGCGGCAGCTATCTCTCTCCCGCTACATCTGTTGCGCTATCGCGCCGGTGCGCTTCAAGTAGCCCGGTTAGCTCAGTCGGTAGAGCGTGGGACTTTTAATCCTAAGGTCGAGGGTTCGAACCCCTTACCGGGCGGTACTTTTTACGTTGTTTTCTTATACCTTGGTGGATGTATGTCGGTCATAGGTATAGCGGTCAGGCCCTCTACAGAAGTCTGTATTTTTTTTAACTCTCAGTTCTACTCAACCAGCGTGATTTCGGTTACTTATGCCCGAAAGTATGCGCCAACTTTTTGCTCGGACTCCTATGTTCTCGCCCGTTACGGGTATCAGTGTCAGGAGACACCCATGTCTTCCCCATTCGTGTCTCCCATGGCAGGGGAACAGCCGGTGTCCACGGGGACGACGGGGACCTTATCAAATCAAAATTGGTGCGGCGGTGATTCGGCTCGGACCGTCTCGCGAGGGGTCATACCACCCTTCCCCCACTCCCCGTCCTCCTAGCTCCACGTCCACGGTCACCACTATTTCGTTGCGAAATCAGCACAACAGCGTAAGGCATGTAACCAGCAGTGGTGCCAGTATATGATGACAAACTGCTTCAAAACAAATGTGAAGCTCGCGAATAGCGGGAATCGACTGTCCATCGCGCTGTCGCTGCAGTATGGCTCTGAACCGCTCGTCTGATCGAGTGCAATTCGAATCATATATCAGCCCGTGTCGTGGGCCTAGCTGGTTAAGTCGCACACAGATGTTCGAGCAGAACCAAAGCAGTACTACACGGATGTTCCCAGACAATGTAATTCTTCGCCAACAGCGTGTGACCTAGGTTCACTCATTAGCTATGCGCGAATAACCGCTTTTTAGGCATGAATGCGCACACCGCAATTGTAACAACTTGCCTACTAAAATAAAAAAAAAACTGTACACGGTGAATTCCGTTGTGAATTCTTTAACTATTTAAGAGGCAAAAAGTCGGAATTTTCCAAAGGTTACATATCGCGTGGGCGCGGGTCAGATCCCAGCACCCGGCATGCGCGTCAGCTGTGAGCGTCAGTGCTGGGGAAATGCTCAGCAGATTTTCTCGCATTTTGATTGCCTTTTTGGTTACGCCCGGGCCTTCTTGTATCTCCGCAGTTAACAGACGATCGTAGGGCAAAACAGACGTCAGCACGGATACTTCTAGCCATAGCACGCACGTTAAACAGATGCGTATGACGCGGGACGTCTTTTGGGAGTTTATCCATCAAGGCAAGCTGGACCTGAAGTGGACCTGAATGAAGCAATGGGGTGGGTGATTGGGGTCGATCTGGGATCTGGGGGAGGCAATGGGGCTGGTCTCGTGAGTGTGTCGAGCACGGAGTTGGCACGTTGACAGGCGCTGCGTGGATGGCGCGGCGAGGGCGCATCTCGAGGGTGCTCGCCACGACGGCCACGACACGGCCGCCGGGCCACGCCGTCGAAGTACCGCGGCGGGCATGCGCAGTGAACCCGCGCGGCAGCTGAGACAATTTCGCCGTCTCTGTCTAACGCAAATGCGGTGTCAATGGGGCGGACCAGGATGGCGATCATCCCTCTAGGGGGCGCCGCCAGCCCCGCCCGCCCCGCTGCAGCCCCCCTGGCCGGCGCCACTCGC